AAGGACTCCAGTTAATTTCCTGCTTTTTTGTGTATGTGTGTTACTTACAGGGCACACAAAACAGCTTTCGAATTCCAAGATCTCTTCATGAAACAAAGCAAATTAAAAAACAAACAAACCCTCTTAGTTTAATCTGGATAAATGTCACACTGTACATCTCTGTGTGTACCCCCCCCCCAAAAAAAACAGTGTTTAAAACCATCCGGCATTCCCTCAGATATTGGAAGTCGCCATATTTTTCTCATTTCTTAGCCTGACTTAAGGCCTTTCCAACTCTGGCAGTTGTCCAACTTGGCCAAGTACTTTGATGTCATTCCTTAACCCACCAATTATTTCTTTCGCGAAGGGCACCCGGTTTAATTGACATGGTCTACAGACCAATCTTGTGCACGCTAATGAAACTTGGGGCGGTCACCTTCCCTGCGACACAGCTAGCAAAGAGGAAAAACCTCCATTGTTGACTTCTTTCCTTCTTCTTCTTCCCCTAGAGATTTTTTATTGGCAGACGTTCAGAGCTGGTGCTATATTACCGTGACTGATTTACACTCCTACCATTGACAGAAAATGCCATTCACTTAACAAAAGGGGGAAAAAAATATGGGGGAGGGTGTGTGTGGAATCCACTTGCTTTAACGGGGCAATAATTCAAACTTGTAACCTTGGTCAGTCTTCCCGATGAGGCTTTCAAGAAGATGAATGGAAACTTTAAAGAGAAGTCGGAATAGATTTCAAGGTGGACAACTTTCCCCCTTTTTTAATAGAGCCCGGATTGGGGGGTGCTTTTAAAAGCTTTCTGTTTCTGGCATGGAAAGGAATCTCTCATTTTGATGGATCCCTTCCCTTTTTGGGGGATCGGAAGAACAGGTGGGATCCTTTTCTACTCTTTTCCAATGAATCCCAGATGATTTTTTGGCTTGGGCTGCCATTAATTCTAACTGAGGTTTAGAGAAACAAGCAAACCGCAAAAGGTCTCATTACTTTCCTTAAGACATCTGGATAGAAAGATGGTTGCCTTATTCCATATTGTCGGAATGCATCACACACGATGTGGAAGAAAGCTCTCATGAATAATATGGACGTGGGAAAGAAGAAAGAGGGGAAAAATGGTAAGAAATTTGAAAGACTGTGAGGTCTTTTTCAGAGATATGGAGCAATTCCTGGAATCAGATGGAAAATGAAGTCTATGTTCATGTTCAGTTTCCAATATGGAAGCTTAAGAAGACGCAAGTGAAGATGTTCAGATGAAGCTAGTAAGGGAATCATCAACATATGTTGAATTCTCGTCATACCTCAACCCATGAATTTCAGAGAAACTCTTTGTAGGAAGGCCTATGGAGATTCTCAGTCATCCAGGTCATGGATGAAGAAGTTCTGAAGAAAGCTTTTTGGATGAGAAGCGAAACATCTTCAAGGAAATGACAAGCAAAATGTCTTCAAAGAAAGAAAGTTCAGTTGCCTCTTGAAAAAGGACCTTGGGTCTCCGTGAGAATCTATTCTTCTATGCAAAATCTCTCTAATCTGGTTGATATAATCAAAATCTGACAATAGTCTTTGTAGACCAGCCAAATGTTTCCAGGGTTAATTTTGAACTGCAGTAATTATAATGGGGAATAAAATATTTTTAAGACTTAGATTTATTTTTTTCCTAAAAATAAATAAGTAAAGTGAATTATTGATTGCCATCAAGGGAACCTTTAAGACTGGATTTGGACTCAGTTGTTAAAAATCTTGGCACATGGATGAAAATTTTTCCCCTCCCCAAAAGATATCCCAGCAGTTTGAACCACTGATATATCACTTTCTGAAATTATAGGATTATATAAGGGAATATAGCTATCAGTGATTCCCCTCTCAGTGATCCAGTATGAATGAAATATTATTCTGGGGTGATAATGATATAAAGTGGTATTTACATGGTTAGGTGTACTGATGTTTTTCGTGGATTAATTTCCCCAAATCCCATCCCCCCCTTAACATTTACAATTAAACTGTTAACATTTGTAGGACTTTTTTTAAAGTTTGTTCCTGAAGTTTATTCCTTCATACAAAGTCTATTTCGAGAAGAGTCTGGATTGCCATTTGTCAGGAATGGTGTAGGGTCTCTTGCTTGGGTGGGGGTGGGTGGGTTGGACTAGATGACCTACAAGATCCCTTCCAACTTGGTTAATCTGAATATGGTGGAGGACCTGTGCTGTCTGCAAAAAAAAAGAAAAAACCAAAACCAAAATGATAATGGAAATGGCATTATCCAACATCCAGTTTCAAAACAAATTAAAAAAAGAGAATCAATTAATGGAATATAGTCTACCTAAAACCAAGCTTGACTGAATTCCAAAATTTTTACTCACAGGTGAGGGATTAGCTCTGTTCTAAACCAAACTGGCACCAGTCCAAATGGATAAAAGCTTATACATTAAATGATAACTGTAAGGCTTACCAAGGCTTAATTATTGTTTTTACAGGGAGAAAATATATATATATATATTGAAGTTTAAGGTGGTCTGTAATGGAAACCAGCTCTGATCTTAAAGGCTTTCTTTTCCTTATCCCTTGTGTTTTGGTTTCTTTTCTTTTTCCTTTTTTTGTGTGTGCGATAAAAGAAATACACCCTGCAGCTGTTAAAGGGATTTTAATCTTGTCTTCCTTCTAATATCTCGGGTTTTAGTCCTAGCATTGGAACATAGGTAGAGACAGAACAACTGGTGAATTCTGCTTTGAAAAAGCTCGTGGTAGGGATATCAACTGCTCAGTGCCTGACTGGATGAAGTACAGTGGGGAAAACACAACGATAATTTACTATTTCTTTGACACACTTCGCCACTCTGCCCTGGGAAAACCCTCCATCTCACAGCCCTTCCATCTGTCGCTGTCAGCCAAAAGATCTCCTCCTGCCGAAAGTTAAAGTTACCGGGAGGAAGAGGAGAAACCCAATTCTTGAATTTGCTGGTGTCTTTTCCAATGGTGTTGTTTTTGGGAAAGCCCTGCCTAATGAAGGGTTTGGAAGGATTTGAAAGCTCCCAAAACCTGCCTGGTGATAGGTTAGTGGTCCTATTAGAGCCATTAAAGATAGAAGACGATGCTGAATGCCAAAGGCAGGGGTGGGATTCTACCAGTTTGGTTGTTGCACCAGTTGAATCCTACCCATGCCTGAAGGGTTTCATTAAAACCATTTGGTGCACGGCGCATCCTGCAACCCACAAGGAAGGGCAGGTTTGAAAGGTTAAAAAAAAAAGCACATCTCGGAAACCTTGTAGTAAGGCAGGGGTCCCCAACCGCCGGCCCGCGGACCGGTACCGGCCCGCGGAACAAGTCTTACCGGGCCGCTGGTTGCTGGGCGCCGCCATCTTTTTTTGATTAAAAAGTGCTTCCGGTGAGCTTTTCCGGGTAGAAAGCTCACCGGAAGCACTTTTTCATCAAAAAAAGATGGCGGCGCCCAGTTGATGCCGGTACTGGGCCGTGGCGCCCAGCTGATGCCGGTACCGGGCCGCGGCATAAAAAAGGTTGGGGATCACTGTAGTAAGGAATGAAAAAACAACAACAACCACCCAACCCCTCTCTAGGTTATTCCTAGAAAGGGAGTCATTACAACGATTATACTGAGCTTTCTCAGTAGGTTTGGACATGAGGCCCTCATAGTTGAGAACCCTCCAGCTCTGTTTCTCAACTTTGGTAACTTCAAGACCGCTGGACTTCAATTCCCAGAATTCCCCAGCCAGCACATGTTGGGATACAGTGAAACCTTGCTTTAACAAAACTATTTAGCAGGCTCTTCCATTTAGACATCCCTCTGAAGTGATACAGTGAAACCTTGCTTTTAACAAAACTCTAGAGCAGACTCTGAAACAGTTCACAAGTCCATCCCTTCCCAAGAAGTCTAGAGGAGACAATTTCAACATATCTTTCAGCAATGATTGATGTCCTTATGCAAACGAGGCAACGAGGGTCAATGTGTGTCATTGGCATAACATTACAGCTTCCTTCACTTAAGGACATCTTCAGACAATTGGCCTCATTTCCATTATGTCATCCATTGCTGTGGTAATTACATCTAATGGACATCCTCCACCCACAAATGGTTCAATTAAATGAGATTACCTTGTACCGTAGTTGAACCTATGGTAATTTGTGGAGATGCCCCACATATTTAGAACAACAAAAAACAACAACCCATCTCATCCTTAATTTTTTGATGTGTGTGTGTGTGTGTGTGTGTGTGTGTGTGTGTGAGAGAGAGAGAGAGAGAGAGAGAGAGAGAGAGAGAGAGAGAGAGAGAGATCGGGATGAGTCCTACAGCATAGATTACTGGATATCTTTTTTATTTCAAAGTCTTCCATGTGGGTGAAATAGATTTAAAAAGGGCATGGTTGTAGCCCCTCAAAAAGGGAGACCCACCAAGCAGAATTACAAAATGTGACAGCTGACTGGCCTCTCTGTAGACATCTCCCAAGGGCTTTTGTGTATGTGCATGTCAGTGTGGAAGCGCTTGACGTTATACTTGTTTAAGGACCACACTTCTGCAATGGTAACAATTATCTCTTGTCAAGTAACAAGTCAGGACTAAGCTGAGGACAGCGATGGTTTGTCTCAGAAGGTCAACATAGTGTTGGGAAGAGGGAGTTTCTCTGCATTGATTGGCAGGTGTGAGAACTTTTGGGAAAGGGCCCTCAAAATGTTATGAACCCTTTCTCCCCAAATATACTTCTGGATCAAAGTGCAATACTGCAGGGAATGACCATTCTGCGGGTTACAGATGTCAATATTGGCAGGATTCATAGAAATTCGTAGACCAAGGCAATAACCGACGCTGGTTCAACAGGAGGAACACGTACCCTGCTTGGAAGCTACATTTCCCATTTATGGCAATTCCACTTCGGACAGATAGAATAGTTCGTGTTTTGTATAAGACAGAAAGAGAGACGGCAACAAAATTAAACTCTATGAATACAGTTACGGGAGGAAGTGGCTGTCCATCGGGGAATCACCTGTGTGCCGAGGAAGGAAACGGGATGGAGTTGTGACAGGGGGGCGTGGCCGTCACTACAACAAGTGTGCTTCGGTGCGAAGCCAATGGAGTCCTTGACGAATGTAACGGACCAGGTTGGTCATACTGCTGTGTTGTGTCAATGGACCCATCACCAAGTCCAAGTCTATGAAGAACTCTGAAAAATAGAGAGAAGTATTATTTTCTGTTCATCTACTGTGGGTTGGCATGGAATTTATTGGTTAGTTTTCTATGCTCCCAATTTTCTTCTCTCTCTCTCTCTTCCTCCCTCCCTCCCTCTCTCTCCTATAAACCCATATCTATCCATCTTCCAACTGTCTTCTATTTATATATGTCATCTATCTACCGTATCTATCTACCTGTCTATCTATATCATATATCTCTCATCTATCTTTATCTATCTGTCTGTATGTTTACCTTACCTTATTCTATCTATCTATCTGTCTGTCTATCTATCTATCTATCTATCTATCTATCTATCTATCTATCTATCTATCATCATCATCATCATCATCATCATCTTCTTCTATCTATCTATCTATCTATCTATCTATCTATCTATCTATCTATCTCAGAACGTGCATCTAACAGACTTGTAGGATTTCAGAATCTCCAGTTTTGGACAGGGATCAACAATAATGGATGAAACCTTGGCAAGAGTGCTAAATTTCCATGATCTTGTCTGAGTTCAGACATGGGCCCATATATATAATAGCAAATATTGACCCTTTAGTGAGCCTTTGTATTTTATAAGGGTGTTTGTGTGCGTAGCTTGGTCTTTCACTTGGCTCTGTTTAAGAATGGCCTTATGGGGACAGGGCACCTTCCTGTCCTCTCACACTTCCTTTTCTCAAATCCTCTTCACACTCTGAGCCCTGGCTGATATACTTCACAGGAGTGAGTCTAGGAGGAAGAAAAACACAAATGTGCTGGGACTTCCCATCCATCGATTTCCCCCTTTGGTGAAGCGTAATCCTCACCACAAACAGTAACAAAGCAAATCAGGGAACCAGCATGCAAGGCAAGAGATGCTGGGTCCAATCATTACCAACATAACCTCAGTAGATCTCAAAGCAGAAGGAGAAAAAGGGAAGAGATACCTTTGTTTTCTTTTGTCAGTTTGTCAGCCATGTCCCAATGTTCGTAGCTCCGCAAGACATTGTTGGTGATGTTGACATGGCTGGCAGCCATGTGGTGGATCCGTTGGGGGATGCTGACAGTCCCCACCGAAGAGGAGCCTGCCGTGCTTGTGGTACTCCCAAGGTTGCTGATGGGTGAGGGGCTCAGAGACATAGGGGATGGCGTTTCTGTGCTCCTGGGAAAAGGATAAAGACCTGGTTGATTTGATTTCTATCACACCGTTGGTTGTGAATCTAGCCAACTTGATCAAACAAGTCTAAGTGCAGAGTCCTTGTCATCTTGATCCAAAAATCTAGTCAACTTGATCAAACAAGTCTAAGCATAGAGTCTTTGGTGCTCTCTGAGCTTGGATAAATGACTATGGGAATTCTCAATTATCCAACTCATGGTTGTCCCAAAGGTGCTTTTTCCAAAAGGCAACTGGACTTTCTTGGGTTTTTCTTGGAAAACATTCCGCTTCTCATCCAAGAAGCTTCTTCAGTTCTTCTTCAGAACTGAAAAAAAAAGTTTCTTGGATGTGAAGTGAAACAAAAGCAACTTTGGGACGTCTGCGCTTGGCTATTTTCTTGCAGACATTTCACAACCCAACTAGGGAACATCATCAGTGCTAGAAGGGAATGAGGTTTGCTTTCTGCTTATATACAAGTGGCTTACCCTGCCTGTGTTGGTGGAAGTGGTCTTGGTGAAGAAGACCACTTGGTGATTCCTTGGAACCACAGCCTCACCAACGTCGGGTGGATTTCCCTATTTCTATCTTAGCACTGTACCATGGAACTAAAAGTCAGAGAAAGAAAATGCAACGATATCTCCATAAACATTTAACTATACCTAAACATACATTTGACCTGATTCCTCCCATCGCTAGACATGGATGATCAATTGCTGTCTAGCTTCCAACCAGTTTGCTCACTGTTTCCTTCTTGGGAGGGGAAGAGATCAGGGATATCTAAGAGATAGTTGAAAGTATATTTCCCAGAATTCCCTGGGCATTCTTAGCACGGATACCCCAGGAGGAACCTCAAACTATTAACTATTAAAATCCTGATCGGCCATCTTGATTCAGTAGGTCTCTTTCAATATACTTGTTGGAGATGCATTCTTCTTACTCAGCGTACTTTCAAGATGGTCTCAGCCCCTTTTAAACAAATAAATATACTCTAAATTGCTTTAAATTCCTATCTTTTAGCCCCAAATCTCACCAGGACACCCCAAAGTGATTTAGGGGCAATGTTCCAAAGAGAAATCTTCGATTAACTGCAGCCTTCAGTCAGATTTGTTTACTCTATATGGTTGGTTGACTAATAAACACCAACGTGAAGTAGGACAAATGAAAACGATTCAGCGTTTTTTCTTTCCCTCCCTTAAAAGTCTTTCAAATTTCCCTTCATGCTGTGAAGATTATTTTGAGGCTGCTAAATTAAAAAAGAACCCAGCTAGGCAATATGTTCTCAGATGCCAAGATTCCCTACGGAAGCCAATCATGAGCCCAAAGGCTGTATCTAATTTGCATATTTTATTAACATTATTCCATTGTGCTTGACAATTAATCTGCTGGATATTGTGACAAGTGCATTTTCTTCAACTGTTTCATTTTTTCCCCCAGATTGAATAGTTAGCATCTGTCTCTTGCTAATATTACCACCCCAAATTTTTTTTGGGGGGAATACAATAGCCTACTTCGGAAAGCTGATGTGAAATTTGATAGGATGAGTGCCAGATGATGATGATGATGTTGATGATGATGGAGAATGACAGCAGGACTCCGAGGGCCAGAATATTCATGCTAAGCATGTAGCATGTAGTCTTTTATTTTCTCTAAAGTATCCATGATTTTTTCAGATTAGCTTCGTATCAAAACACACATGGAGTTGGTGTTCAATCTGTTCCATCTCAGTTCAAAATTGTCCTTCAAGAATTTACCTATTCAGCAAAGAGTTAGAAATAGTCCTACTCTGGGACCTGTTAATAAATCTCATTTCTTTCCATTGACCATGATGGTGATTGCTTCTAAGATGTACCACTTTTGTGGAGTATCACAAAGGGTGCTTCACCCCTGGAACTGCTACAACAGGTTGATGTGATTTCTACCGATTGAGATGAAGATGAGACTGAAGTCACTTGCCTCCTGTGGGTGTTGGCTATGACTGGAGATATCATGATTCAAGGCTACCTTTAGCCTGGAAACAGAGTGATGTTTCGTTTCCTTCCTTCCTTCCTTCCTTCCTTCCTTCCTTCCTTCCTTCCTTCCTTCCTTCCTTCCTTCCTTCCTTCCTTCCTTTGAAGTAGACCTTATCTTCTTTTCAACTCTCAACTATTGTGAGGCCTTGGGGGAAGGTGGTTACACCAAAAGACAGTCATGGTCCCTTTCAGCCCTATGACTCTATGATAGAATTGAAAAGCTACATCATTTTGCAGGGGAAAGGTTTGATATGACAGGTAGAATTTAAAATGATTTTGCTAGATGAACAACTGGAATTATAACTTTTCTGGGGAGGAACAGGAAAATGATAGAATAATCCTAGAACAAAGGATGCTAAAAATGTTGTGATCTTCCTACCCCACTTAGGAAACAGCCTGAATTATTGACTAATAATTGATGGGAAGAAAAATTCAATTTGCTACAATAGCTTAACCCCTTTCCCTATAAACTGTTCTTAAATCCCCCTTCCTGGGCGGTAGAAGACATCACATACGGCATTAATCCTATACTTCTGCAGGCATTCTTAGCTCTTTTAAAGTCTTTGGCATCAAATCACCGGGATAGTGTTTTCTATAAAGTTGCTTTTTAAGTTACCTACTTGGCGCTCACTAATCCTCCCACATGCATTTTCTTTTTAACACCAACACTTAGGAAAATATCTGCCAGCTTAGAGTACTATGGGACAGCTGCTCCTGGCAGAATTTTACGTTCAGTAACTGAATCATTTTTTAAAAATATGCATTTGAAGCGGATCAAAATTCCAAAAATCCATGTAATGTGGATGTGATTTCAGAGGTATTTGATTTATCCCCCTGGATAGAGGTATAGAATCAAGATCATGTGAAGTGTTAATACCACTTTATAAGGCCTTGGTAAGGCCACACTTGGAATCCTGCATCCAGCTTTGGTTGCCACGATGCAAACAAGATGTTGAGACTCTGGAAAGAGGGCAGAGAAGAGCAACAAAGAGGATTAAGGGACTGGAGGCTAAAACATATGAAGAACGGTTGCTTGGAACTGGGTATGTCTAGTTTGATGAAAAGAAGGACTAGGGATGGCAATAGTTTCCCTCCTCCTCCACACACAATACTTATGAGTATTGGTGTTCTGAGTTAAAGATCTATTAGTCTTGCTCTCACAGAATTAGAGACCCCATTTCCCTAGGAAAAGGGATCAATGATTAAATAGGAATCAGATAAGGGCCTCTGTCTTCGATTTTGCATTGTGCAAAGGAGGCAGCAACCAAACCCTTGGTTAACGGTGGGCACTGTAGTGTCCTCACAATAATTTGAATCTCCAGAGCAGCAGTTCAGACCTCTCTAAAAAGTCTATGGCTCAGAAGAAATGTGAAAATGGGAATGGCTGGCCCTCCATCTACAGGATGTCCTTGACTTATAGCAGTTTGTTTAGTGACCTGGATGACTGGGAATCTCTACAGACTTTTAGCTATACAGTTTGGGATGAACACCCTTGGAATGGTGTGGGAGTAGGAATGGATTTCCAGAGGAAAAATTACAGACTGCAGGAACTGGGAGTGCTACTCAGGTGACCCTGAGGACACAGAGAAACCTCCAAGTGGCCTCAGTAACTCTCTAAAAGGATGCAAATGACCAGCTGTCTGCAAGGAGTATCAGTCCTTCCATTCGTCACCATCCTGTCAGAGCTGAAGAAGCTTCTTGGATGAGAAGCGAAACGTCTTCAAAATAAAAAAACAAAACAAGGAAGTCCAGTTGCCTCCTGAAAAAAGCACATTTGGGGCAACTGTGACCTGGAGGATGGAGAATCTCTATAGATGCAATATTGCTCTGCACCAGATCCATGTTATCTCAAGGGTTCTGATGGAGCAGCTTCCTCCTCCTTCCCCCAAGAGGCATCCTTGGCCCAGGGTTCAAGGGAAAGCCATCAAGGATGGAAAACAAATTGTCCTTCATACCCTACGGTGCCTCCCTTCTCTGCCTACATCAGCAGCTGCCCTGCATGATGGATGACTCTGTTGTGACAATGCCTCCTGTTCTTTATGGTCTCCGACGCTCGTGGTGGCACGTTATTCATGGTAGATAGGCTGCGTTCAGCTTGGGCGATCACAACGTGTGCGCGGCCCGTCTGATGATAAGTGCAAGTGGCACACACCGGGTTTCCGAGATCCAACTTTGTGTGTGATTGAGAAAATTGAGCTTTAGGGTTGAAACCAGATGGAATTAGAGCAAATAAACTGAGTGAAGATGTTCTTCAAGTTCCATAATGCTTCCGGTTTATTAACAGCGGTTGTTATATACCCATTAAATAATCCTTGGCTTTTATTATTGAACAAATCACTGTTGGTGGGAAGAGACAGACATTAACTTCGACCTTAAGCTTTTCTTTGCTCTCCTGGGAATGGTGTGGTCCTTCCTAACCAAGTCCTTTATAGTCTTCAATTGGGTTGAAGAAGATCTATCACTCCATCTGAAGATTTTTTTCTCATTCTGCTTGTTAAACTTCAAGCTCCGTTACACCAGTGGTGGGATTCCATTTTTTTTAATACTGGTCCTGTGGGCGTGGCTTGGTGGACATGGCATGGCAGGGGAAGGATACTGCAAAATCCCCTCCCTTCCCCAACCCCCCTAACCTACTTTTCAGCTCTGTTCTCCTGTGCAGAGCAACCAAAGAAGACCCAGCCGATCAGCTGGGACTTAGGAGGTGGAGAAGAGATGGGGGTAGGGCCAGTCAGAGATAGTATTTGCCGGTTCTCCGAACTACTCAAAATTACCACTACCGGTTCTCCAGAACTGGTCAGAACCTGCTCAATGCCACCTCTGCATTACACCTAGTCTAAGATCTGATCTTCATCAACCAAGAAATGCTCCTTCTTCCCGATATCCTATTTTGCAATTTCCCCTGCAGGAATGAGGGATACTTACTTGCCACCCCAAGGAGAAGGGGCCTGTGAAACTTTGGATGAATTCTGTTAAGAAAAGAAAGAGAGAGAGAGAGGGAGAGAGAGAGAGAGAGAGAGTCAATGAAGTGGAAGAAAACATAATGAGCAAACCAAATAACTATTTGCATTTAAAAAAAAAATCCAATGAATGGTGTTACAGGAGCCCATAAATACAACGGGTTACCTTCCAAAACCCTTCAGCCTGAGTATGAATGTTTCACAGTATTAGGTGTCTATGGCAATGTATTTTGGCAATGCACAACACAAAGACATGCCTTTTTTCTTTTTTCTTTTTTTGCAAAAGTGGCCACGTGAAAAATCACTGGTTGGGTGACACTTTCTGTCCTGAGGGCCAATTAAATTGAGTACACCCTACATCTGTATTATAAAAATTCTGGAGCCAAGCGTTGTGGTAGAGACCTTAAAGTAAGGGTTTTTATTGGGGGGGGGAGTAATTTTTCAAAAAAAATAATAATCTTGTATCCAAAGTCACCCTTTATCTCTGGAGGAGAGGCCATCTCACTCTCTCCTACCCCTGTTCCCTCCCAAACCCTTAATGACAACGTTTCACTCTTTATAACCTTTGGTGGCTGAACACAATAACAAACTGTTGTGTCCCAGCTGCAAAAATATGGTCTCTCTCTTTCTCTCCCTCCCTCCTCTCTTTCTTTCTCTCTACCCTCTCTCTTTCTCTGTCTGTCTGTCTCTCTCTCTTTCTGTCTCTGTCTTTCCCTCCCCCTCTCTTTCTCTCTGTCTCTTTCTTTCTTTCTCCCTCTCCCTCTCTCTCTCTGTCTGCCTCGTCCCCCTCTTTCTTTCTATCCCCCCTCTATTTCTCTCTGTGTCTCCGTCTTTCTTTCTTTCTTTCTTTCTTTCTTTCTTTCTTTCTTTCTTTCTTTCTTTCTTTCTTTCTTTCTTTCTTTCTTTCTTTCTCTCTCCCTCTCTCTCTCTCTCTCTTTCTTTCTTTCTCCCTCTCTCTCTGTCTTTGTCTCTTTCTCTCT